ACGGTACCTGAAGCAATCTCCCTGTCTGCACCCGAACAGGGCTGACTGGAGGGACATGGTACCTGGAGCAATCTCCCTGCCTGCACCCGAACAGGGCTGACTGGAGGGACATGGTACCTGGAGCAATCTCCCTGCCTGCACCCGAACAGGGCTGACTGGAGGGACACGGTACCTGGAGCAATCTCCCTGTCTGCACCCGAACAGGGCTGACTGGAGGGACATGGTACCTGGAGCAATCTCCCTGTCTGCACCCGAACAGGGCTGACTGGAGGGACATGGTACCTGGAGCAATCTCCCTGTCTGCACCCGAACAGGGCTGACTGGAGGGACATGGTACCTGGAGCAATCTCCCTGCCTGCACCCGAACAGGGCTGACTGGAGGGACATGGTACCTGGAGCAATCTCCCTGTCTGCACCCGAACAGGGCTGACTGGAGGGACATGGTACCTGGAGCAATCTCCCTGCCTGCACCCGAACAGGGCTGAGTAGAGGGACATGGTACCTGGAGCAATCTCCCTGTCTGCACCCGAACAGGGCTGACTGGAGGGACACGGTACCTGGAGCAATCTCCCTGCCTGCACCCGAACAGGGCTGACTGGAGGGACATGGTACCTGGAGCAATCTCCCTGTCTGCACCCGAACAGGGCTGACTGGAGGGACATGGTACCTGGAGCAGTTTATGGTGAAACGATGAATGTGTATCTCCAGAAAAAGAGATATTGTTTTTTGTCCATGATCATATCACTGGGGTGTCTGCACTGACGGGTGATTGTACAGCGTAACATAGAGTTGCACTGTGTCACCCCTACACTGAAGGCGGAAGTCTGGCTGCTGGACGACTTGCTTGTTGGGTGGACTGGTGGGTGGGTGGCATACTGGGTGGGTGGATGGCAAACTGGATGGGTGGGTGGCATACTGAGTGGGGGGGTGGGTGGATGGCATACTTGGTGGGTGGCATACGAGTGGGTGGGTGGGTGGCATAATGGGTGGGTGGCATACTGAGTGGGTGGGTGGCAAACTGGGTGGGTGGATGGGTGGCAAACTGGGTGGGTGGGTTGGTTGCATACTGAGTGGGTGGGTGGCATAATGGGTGGGTGGGTGGCATAATGGGTGGGTGGCATACTGAGTGGGTGGGTGGCATACTGAGTGAGTGGGTGGGTGGCAAACTGGGTGGGTGGGTTGGTGGCATACTGAGTGGGTGGGTGGCAAACTGGGTGGGTGGGTGGCATACTGGGTGGGTGGATGGCAAACTGGGTGGTCGGGTGGGTGGCTGTGTGGTTGCTGAGAGGTTTTGGGAGTTTGTGGGTGAGTTGGTGGGTGGGTGGATGGGTTGGTGGATAGCTTGGTGGTTGCTGAGAGGTTTTGGGGTGGGTGAGTTGGTGGGTGGGTGGATGGGTTGGTGGATAGCTTGGTGGTTGCTGAGAGGTTTTGGGGTGGGTGAGTTGGTGGGTGGATGGGTGGGTGGATGGTTGCTGAGAGGTTTTCGGGTGGGTGGCCGGGGTACACCAGAAATGGAATCAAGTCAGATTCTTTAGCATGACAAGCAACCGCTTTAACCACTAAGCTACCCCCAGCCCAGTCCTCCAGGAAATGGCAATGTTTGAGTACAGCAGATAGTTGATTGAACCCTGGTACAGCAGATGAGAGTTAGGTAAGTCTGACGGGATGCTCCAGCTCACCCCGACAGACCTCGGCCACGATGACGATGACGATGCCTGGTACAGCAGATGAGAGTTAGGTAAGTCTGACGGGATGCTCCAGCTCACCCCGACAGAGCGGCCCAGGCCGGGACCTCGGCCACGATGACGATGACGAGCACCTTGTCGTGCACACGGTCACAGCCTACTCTCAATGTCAACAACACCATTGTTATCAGCAATGTGACACCAGCCCAGTTTATACTACCTGCATCTATCTATCTCCACGGTGACACAGATTGGAGGTCAGGTGGTCTGCAGTGATGGAGAGTGATGGTGAGGTATGGCCGTGATTAAGTGTCACTGATAGCAGGTACAGGTGACCAAGTGCAGTTGGAGTGAAAGGGAGTAAGTGCAGTTGGAGTGAAAGGGAGGAGTGAAAGGGAGGAGTGAAAGGGAGGAGTGAAAGGGAGGAGTGAAAGGGAGGAGTGAAAGGGAGGAGTGAAAGGGCTTGACAAAAAGGGAGTAAGTGCCCCACTCAGACACAGTTTACTGACTCCGAGCCGACCAGTCCTTGTTTTAGCCCCTTGCCGAGCGCCAGGCAGGGTAACAAGAAGTACCATCTTTTCATGTCTTTTGGTAAACAAAAGGGCTGGGGATCGAACCCCGGACCTTCCTCTTCCCGGGCGGACGCTCTACCACTAGACCAAGGAGTCAGTAATTGCAGAGTAAGCAATGTAAATACACATTAACCAGTGTAGTCACAAACAGTCAGGGAGGTCACATTCTCCAGAAGAAAACATCGCCAGCACCAGTACACTGCTTACAATTTCTGCTACCGCCGACTGTCCGCCATTCTACCCCATGACATGGAGAGTCATTCATGCTATCAACCACTGGTCTGCCAGGTCAAAACTTGATAATTTATCAGCCATGACACTGCAGGCATAACACAGACATTCACTCACTCACACAATAATTGTTTAATCTGCAAAACTAGCACTCAAGGGAGGTAACTCTACACGACAAAAACTAAACCAAACATCCACCTGTCAAACATTTCGACCGTATTTTTCCACTAAACAAAGTTCCAGGTAGAAACCGATGCTTAGTGCTAATCGAAGGAACTTAATGACCTCACTACGTCTGGATACAAGGCTTCCAGCAACAATAACACCATCTATTTATACACAGACAAGGAGAGCTGGCAACATAACGGTAGTACCTGAGAATCAGTGGCAGTGTAGCAGACATTAACATGCAGCTCTCTGCGTGTCTCGGGAACGTACAGTGATAGGTTTGGGTCGTCCAAGGCGTCACCATGGTGGCCCAGGCTGGTGACCTGGAGCAGGGTTAGAACTAAACTCAAACGCTCTAATTAGGGAAAATTTAAAATGTCTGCCAGCCTTCAGGAATATGTATTAGCTCCAAAATGTTCCCCACGTGGTACAATCGGGGAAGCCTGTTGCAGCCAAACAGAAATATTGCTGGATTTTTATTTAACAGAACTTGACAAACATGCACTTTGTGGTAGTCAATTTTAAATATTCCTAAACACTGATAACATCCTACTTTACATGATACTCATCCAAAATAAACTGTTTCCATGAGGTCTCAGTGCATCCGCTGCCAACAGCACAACCTGTAGTCCAAGTAGGAATACGCACAAGGCCGGTATCGGTAAAGGAACTTGATGTAATAAAACAATCATAAATTAATTTGTATCAGGACCGCAACTAATATTTAGCCTCAAATCTGCAGCAAATGTCATAACAAATTCATAAACTGGATTTTTTTCTGAAAGCAGCGAAAATCATACCCAAGATAATAAAAACCACGATATCCTGTCCATCTACATTTGTTTCCCTTTTTTCATTCAGGTTGATTTTGAATTAAATACCGTATTCGATGTAATAAGCGCCCCGCTCTAATAAGCGCCCACGGCGATATTTGCTTATATATTGGCAAGTGAACAATCCCAATTAGCACCCCTTCCGATTGATCAATGTACACAAGACTTATTTATTCGTGTATAATACGCACTCGTGTGTTATATGCACCCTTAATTACGGGCAATTAAATTCTGGAAAAATATATCTGTCGTATATAAACAGTCAGGCCGTCAGCATAAACCACGAAATTTATCTTTCAACTCAGTTTTTTCCACCAAAATAATATTCTAATAAGAGCCCCCTATTTCTAATTTCGAGAGCGCCCTGGGCGCTTATTACGTCGAATAGTGGGTACTTCGATAAGTGTTCTGTAGAGAGCACCCATACAGATATGGTGGCAACAGATGCACACAGCCACAGTTGCAAATTAAAGTGCCCCATTTGAACAAAAACACAGTGTAAGGGACTGGGACATGCTGATCAAAGAAGCACCATCAACTGAAATGTTTACTTTGTTTGTTTGTTTGTTTGTTTACTTGTTGTTTAACACCGCACTCAGCAATATTCCAGCTATATGATGGCAGTCTGTAAATAATCGAGCCTGGACCAGATAATCCAGTGATTGATATCATGAGCATCAATCCACGCAAATTCGGATGCATCAACAAAGTCAGCGAGCCTGACCACCCGATCCCGTCGCCTCTCACAACAAGCATAAACCACTTATGACAAGCATGGGTTGCTGAAGACCTATTCTATCCCCGATCTTCATGGGTCACAAGCATGGGTTGCTGAAGACCTATTCTATCCCAGATCTCCACGGGGGGAGACAAGCATGGGTTGCTGAAGACCTATTCTATCCCAGATCTTCTGTACCAAGGACAAGTAAACATATTTCAAAGGTAGTCCTCACTGACCAGTAGAACTTGAGGGTCGTAGTTCTGAACTAATTCTCAATGCTTCAATTTTCCCACAAAAACTGACAGAACATGTCAACATAGAAAACATTTTTGTCTTTTTCAAGCTACCGACCATCTACAAACTGAGGGCTAGAGAAATGAGGTGTACACAATTCTTAAGAGACCATAAACCTCGGAACAGGAACAGGGACCCCACAAAAAGCCTGAACCTCTCCACCTTTTAGGATGTCTTTCACAGACAAGATAAAATGGGGAGATGCCAAACTGGATCCCTATGACACTTCGGGACCTGCCTGTGTGATGCATCTTTCAATGCAGTGTCAACCCAAACAGCATTCTATTAAATTCCTTCCCATGTTTGGCTGTGATGTAGCCTGCCACCACCCTCAACGTCCTCGTCCACCCTGGACGTCCCCGTCCACCCCACCAGCCCAGGGGTATTCAGTACAGGGTGAGGGGGTACACCAACTGAAGGGTAGGCAGGTAGGTAGGCAGGCAGGCAGCTCCAGCCTTACCTGATCTAGGCCACGGCTAGCGAATGATAGCTGGTACACTTCTAACCCTGCATACATATGTGTTGCACTGAGGCGGGCAGCAACTCCTACACTCAGTGACTCTACCAGGCCTATAAGTACGGGGTCCACCAACTGCCAGCTCATTACCTACCTGAAGTACGTCCAGTGAGGCTGGACAGTGCAGCTCCCAGAGAAGACTTCCACACAGTTGCCACGGACACCCAACTGCCCTTCCTTGCATTCGAGCAATCATCAAGACCAGATTGACACCTGGACATCCTCATCAATACTGAAGACATAACACTGCTCAAGGGCTGTCATCGAAGAATTACACAATTTTCATCATTTGTCTGCTGAAGAAATTGCAAAAACTCAAGCCCGACTACCGTCACTGAAACTTTCATATTCTACCATCTCTCTTGCCCAGTGGTCAAGATGCTATCTCTCTGGCTGACCGAGGTGTTTCCCCTGGTGGCAAGTTCCAACACCCACGTCAGGATGGACGCCGACACCCAGACTTACCATTTGACGGCGCCGCCGCCGACTCTCATGCCAACCTCCACCTACACCCTGCTGTCCGTGTTCCTCTGCTTGGCACTGACAATGGGCTATCTGGTATTTGTCGGAATGGCAATTTTGTACGGTCGGGTACGACCAACTTCAGGACTCTGTCTGCAGTTGTTGCTGCTGACGATATTCTCGCCGATACTGTCGACGGTGTTGCCGAGCATGTTGCTGAGCGTGACGTTCCTTGGCATCGTCACCTACTACATGTACCAGAACCTACCACCAGCGTACCTCGGGGTCCATGGAAAGGCAGTCCTCATCACGGGTAAGTCTACTACCTCCATGTCAAGGCATTCACCAGTGTTAGAATTTTAGAACAGCTTTAACTATTTAAGGTTTACGTATTTTTACCAAATATTTACGTGGGATTGCAGCTGACTGTTTGTATTTTATTTGACATTAAAGGCTTGGTCAGGTTGGCGGGAAAACTTAAAGATAATTATGTCTAAACTGCAGGTTGGCTGTAGTTTTGTGCTTGTCTTCAATTCTGATAAGGCGTTCTCTTTCTGAGACATCTGATCCCATTAACGATGCATTTAATCATGTCATATTAAAGAGTTCAAATTGTATTATATTACAGTTGTATCTATCCATTTTTCTAAACCACCAAAAACACAATTGTTGAGAAAAATAAAATATATTTAAATTATTATCATTTCCTTTGAATTTAATAAACACTTTAAAGCTGGCTAAAATTTATTTAACAGAACTTGACAAACATGCACTTTGTTGTAGTCAATTTTAAATATTCCTAAACACTGATAACATCCTACTTTACATGATACTCATCCAAAATAAACTGTTTCCATGAGGTCTCAGTGCATCCGCTGCCAACAGCACAACCTGTAGTCCAAGTAGGAATACGCACAAGGCCGGTATCGGTAAAGGAACTTGATGTAATAAAACAATCATAAATTAATTTGTATCAAGACCGAGACTAATATTTAGCCTCAAATATGCAGCAAATTTCATAACAAATTCATAAACTGGAATTTAAAAATTGTCCACGCCCAGTCGTTATAGCTAAAGCTTGGAAGAGATGACGTTTATTTCACTGATTACACAACCGATGAAGAGGCGTGTCTTAATGCTCAGTGTTACTTTACTGCATTAAAAAAACACTGTAAAAAAATGTCTGAAATTGAGAAAATATAAACATTAGAACATTCCTATTTTTTCTACCATGGCAACAGAATTAGAAATTGGCACTTGTCCTGTAGTCCTTACCAAACTGCCCAATGGTAAAGGTATCCTAAGGACTAGGAGAGATTGGCCAATTTTAAGGGTTTTGCTATATGTTATCATTATAAGGACTAGTGGACAAAAACTGTTAGTTTCTAACCCTGTGGCACCCAGTTTTTGAATCCTGTATCGTCTATTTTGGTAGAGGAATTTTAGGGACAAGGAGAATCAGAAAATAATAAATAAGTTGGTATCAAAGATAAAATAACCAGTCAAGTGACGCTTTAATTAAACGGAAAAAACCTCAAAAACTCTCTCTATATAATCCTATATCTCATACATACTACTACTGGCAGGGATCATCAGATGTGCCGGTCTATATAAATATACACTTGACATATTATGGGAAGAATTTTTGTTTCATTGCAAGATGTAAAATATCCCTATCTAAGTGTATCTTTTACAATAGACACGTAGCCTATCCTGAACGTTCCACTAGAACCTGGTATACTTGGTACATGACTGGGTCCTGCCTTGTGTTTACACACAGCACTCACTCCCCGCAGACAACCACAACCACAAGCTTACAGCCGACTTCATTCCATTAAGTCATTACACTCCAGTCAGTACTTTATCGGCGATGGAGCCGGCAGTGTAGCAGGTCGGAGTGTGCTGTTGTGTACTAAAACAGTTAGGAACCTCCTGGTTTTCTCATAGTACTACGGTTAATGTAACGGCAGATTAACTAGTGAGTGAGTGAGTATGGTTTTACGCCGCTTTTAGCAATATTCCAGCAATATCACGGCGGGGGACACCAGAAATAGGCTTCACACATTGTACCCATGTTGGGAATCGAACCCGGGTCTTCGGCGTGGCGAGCAAACGCTTTAACCACTAGGCTACCCGACCACCCCAGATTAACTAGTAATATGAGAGAGTATAGTTTTACGACACTTTTAGCAATATTCCTGCAATATCACGGCGGGGGACACCAGAAATAGGCTTCACACATTGTACCATGGGGAATACTTCAAAGGTTATTCATCTTTTATTGTTTCGATGCTAAGTCATATTAATATTGATAGAAGTCATTTTAAAACTTAAATTTCATTTTTTTCTGATCAAAAAAAGTTAATTGAAATTATGAAATTGTTGACAGAATAAAATCTGTCAAATCTTATGGAGAATTTAAATATGACACCTCCTGATCATTCTTTATCTCGATGCAGGAATGTCTTCAGCAAATAACATAAAAAATATGAAAGCTTTTTAAAGGCTATAGATCAATTGAAGTCTAAATTCATCTACAAATAGGTCCTCCAGTACTATGTTGTACAGCCGTTCTCTGTAGCTTCAACACAACCCCAATCAGACATGGCTGTTTGTTTGAAAAAAATAAGACTTATTTGTCAAACCTAACGAACCCCTCTGAAACAAACAACAAAAAAGAACACACCAAAAGGTCAATTTTTAAGTCCATGCTTAAAATTGCATTAACACAGCAGATCAACGCAACAACCTTTGAAGTACAAATCAACAATGGTGTAATGTTAAGGTCGTTAAGCAAGATTTTCAAGACATGACAGAGTCGTGGGTCCCAGAGCCTGTTCTAGTCGTGTTACATCCTTCAACGCTATGACAGTTGTCTCAACAACACAAACAACATCAGTGACAGTTGTCTCAACAACACAAACAACATCAGTGACAGTTGTCTCAACTTCATCAACATCAGTGACAGTTGTCTCAACAACACAAACAACATCAGTGACAGTTCCGTCCAACAACACAAACAACATCAGTGACAGTTGTCTCAACAACACAAACAACATCAGTGACAGTTGTCTCAACAACACAAACAACATCAGTGACAGTTCCGTCCAACAACACAAACAACATCAGTGACAGTTGTCTCAACAACACAAACAACATCAGTGACAGTTGTCTCAACAACACAAACAACATCAGTGACAGTTGTCTCAACAACACAAACAACATCAGTGACAGTTGTCTCAACTTCATCAACATCAGTGACAGTTGTCTCAACAACACAAACAACATCAGTGACAGTTCCGTCCAACAACACAAACAACATCAGTGACAGTTGTCTCAACAACACAAACAACATCAGTGACAGTTGTCTCAACAACACAAACAACATCAGTGACAGTTCCGTCCAACAACACAAACAACATCAGTGACAGTTGTCTCAACAACACAAACAACATCAGTGACAGTTGTCTCAACAACACAAACAACATCAGTGACAGTTGTCTCAACAACACAAACAACATCAGTGACAGTTGTCTCAACAACACAAACAACATCAGTGACAGTTGTCTCAACCACATCAACATCAGTGACAGTTGTCTCAACAACACAAACAACATCAGTGACAGTTCCGTCCAACAACACAAACAACATCAGTGACAGTTGTCTCAACACACAAACAACATCAGTGACAGTTGTCTCAACACACAAACAACATCAGTGACAGTTCCGTCCAACAACACAAACAACATCAGTGACAGTTGTCTCAACACACAAACAACATCAGTGACAGTTTTCTCAACAACATCAGTGACAGTTGTCTCAACAACACAAACAACATCAGTGACAGTTGTCTCAACACAAACAACATCAGTGACAGTTGTCTCAACCACATCAACATCAGTGACAGTTGTCTCAACAACACAAACAACATCAGTGACAGTTCCGTCCAACAACACAAACAACATCAGTGACAGTTGTCTCAACACACAAACAACATCAGTGACAGTTGTCTCAACAACACAAACATCAGTAACAGCTGTCTCAACACAAACAACATCAGTGACAGTTGTCTCAACAACATCAGTGACAGTTGTCTCAACAACACAAACATCAGTGACAGTTGTCTCAACACAAACAACATCAGTGACAGTTGTCTCAACAACACAAACAACATCAGTGACAGTTGTCTCAACAACACAAACAACATCAGTGACAGTTGTCTCAACAACACAAACAACATCAGCTAACATTCTGTTTTATCCAGTTAACAAAAATAATAATTATTTGATGCCTGAATTCTGTCATCCATGATATGACTCTCTGAATTATATCAATTTTTGTTAGAGTTTTCATATAATTCATAAAAATACCAATCATGTGTAACTTGTTCAAGTAAGTTTTGTCCAGCTATAAATCTAACAACTTTTCATTCTTAAACATAACACTCTTTTAATAAAAATCAAGTTCTTATTTCTAAAACACTCTCAAAATCCAAAAGGAACCCATTCCACTGTAAATTGAAACATGGCGTCATTGAACCTCATCTTCGGGCTGGATGAACTCACAAATGCTACATACAAATACCAGTTTTCAAGGAATGCTGTAATATTGAAACTCAAAATTCAAGGCACCAGGGTCCTGGATAACATGATCTGACTGTGGAGCCCATCATAACTGTCCTACTTTCCCCATCAATGTGTGGCAGCTGTAGTACCGACAACGACATCGACATCGACATCGACATCGCAATGTGGAACGTCGATTGAGGCTGCATGCCTTAGGGCCTTATTTTTCAGATGTTATTAATTCCATTGATAAACAAATCTTCAGACTTCTACAAATTCTTCCTAATTTGAAACCCCAAAAGCATATCATGTTTCTAGCCAATCTTGCTGAAATTCACCCCAGACCGCTAGCCCGAGACTGCTAGCCCGAGACCGCTAAATTAGGTGACAATTCTTTGATGGTTAAGTGCTCATTGCTTAGTAGTATTTGAGGACTTAAATTCAGAACCAGTTCTCAATGCCTCAATTTTGCCACAAATTGGAACAAAATAAAACTGACGAAATGTGACAGAAACTTAAGACAAGGTAAACACATTTGTCTCTTTCAAGCTGGACGAGCTACACTAACTCTAAGGACCAGTAGAATACAGCTTCCACTTGCCTTTCAACAATGAGTTTCTAAGGCTGCATGTCTTTCTATACAACTGTACTCCTGATCTTGATTGGTTGGTTTGTTTGTTGTTTAACGCCGCACTCAGCAATATTCCAGCTACATGACAGCGGTCTGTAAATAATCGAGTCTGGACCA